GGACGCACATGAACCCGCACCGCAACAAAAGTGCCTACATATTACTACTCACATTTTCTTAGAAAGGAACAACGATGTTGTTGTGAGACTTTTTTCACTGATACTTGTGTTGATAAGATCACGATGAATCACAAATGTTCAGGAAGGTTTGTTGGGAGGAAATATCCTAAATGTTTTATCAAGAAATAACAGTGGTTTCTAATCTGTTGATGGAAGAGTACTACTACAGTAATATTACATGTACCAGTCTGTGTGTACTACTGGCTGAGTGTCTACCCTTTTTCTAGTTTTCTGGTAAGGACTCTTCTAATTATTTTTAGGTCAGTGAAGCAGTAGCTGGATGGGAGTGTAGGGTCTTTGGCTGGTTTAGGTAATGCTGGCAGAGTTGACGTTTGGAATTGCTGTGTGATCACTCTGAATTTGAGTAATTGACCCTGTGCACGAGAAAATGCTAACTTCCTGGTTTGAGACTGTATGTGGGTTGTACATTTCCGGTAGCTTTACTTTGCAGTCAATCACTACTGCGAAGATATCCTCCAAAATCATGTCCAAAACTCGAAAACGGAAAGATCGCGTTGAGTTGCAAAGAGAAGGTGGGAACACTCACCGCTGTTGTGTCATAAAAAATCTAATGATCAGTTTTGACATTTAAAGAGTTTAGATCGATCAGTTGTTTACATCACTCAACACAAGCAGAACTGCATTACTGCAGCAGAAGACACATCGTCCACACTCAGAAGCACATCTCTGTATAGTGACTGGTCTGATGATCTAAACAGGCAAATGTTCAGCATTCAAACTACAGGTGAAGAATAGTCAAACCAGATGTTTCCCCGTTATGTCGAGATCAGCTAGTCAAGTACACACCTACACAGCATGTTAACATGCTGTTAGCATGTTAAAAAACCCACACAAAAAATGAATGATTGCTGGTAACGGTTTCTATACGTTAGTATTTACGAAGGGTATGTTGTGACTGGGACAGCTGAGAAATATAACATTTGACTCCCTTTTCTCTTTTGCTCTGAGGCGCGGGGAAAAAATATCGACAAGTCGATGAACATCATTTACAGATATATTGGGTAAATGCCCGAGACATCTATAGAAATGTAAATCGCCGCTTGATTCATTCATTTGCTTAACTTGTTTTGGACTGTAAACAAGGTGCGAATAGGACACCGTAAACAAAGCTCCCCACAGGAGTTTCCGCACCGGAAGTAGCATATGCTAACGTGCACACAGTCAATTGTTCTGAAAATAGCGGATGTTAGTGTTGGACACAATTCTTTACAAAAGTGCTGGAAAACCATCCGGACCTGGAACTTTATTAAAGCCAGGCCTGAAGATTGACGACAACAACTGAAGGAAAAAATATGAGAAGCAGAGGAGAAGCCTAAGTGGATGCAGAAAGTGAGTTTCTATTTTTATTTCATATTTTATGCAGAGTTGTAATACAGCTACGTCAGGTTGGAATGCGTTCAAATAAACTTGTTTTAAAGTAGTCTTGAAGTGAAGCAATGACTCAGAAGCACTGAGCTGTTGATTAAAAACAGGGAACTTCCTGCTTTCTTTTCTTTAAGAACATTTCCTTCTATCAAACCTTCCTGGATGTTTGTGATTCATTACAGGCTCATCAACACAAGTGTCACTGGAAACATGCACCGAAGACACCAGTGGATTTCAACCTACAAGTGTTACAGGTATTTCCACATCAGTATTCAACTTTCTGTCATATTTGTTCCAGCCTTACAGCAGCATCCTTGTTCCTTTTGGACTCTCATGATGGAGATAAGAGAGTGGTATTCAAAGATTAAAGATCTTACTTGGCTGAGCTGGCTGTTTACTCACAGGCTGATGTCCAACAGAGGCATCCAAAGCATCTCAGGGGAATATTTTCTTATTGAAAGGTGTGACAGCTTTACTTCCCGCTCAGTGATCTTGACACTATACCATTTTTTTCTGAATTCTTACTTAAATTTTCTGAACTAAAGTAAATTGTCAGAATAAATCAAACAGTAATTCCCACAACATGCAGTGCAGATAAAAAACATTTACTAAATGTTTTGTCTCATTATATTTTCTTATTTGAATGCAGAATCCATCGTTGAAGCTGCTGAGTGGATCCATTTTGGTTTTACTTTATACTTTTCTGCTTGTGTAGAGCTGTAAGATCACCACATGTCATTTTAAATGGTTGAACACCTCAAAACATTAAATTCAGGTCAATTCAGCTTTATTTATATTCCCCCAAAATCATACGAGTCAACTTAAAGTACTAGTCAACTGGCTCCTCTTACAATGTAAGTGAGCAGACTCATCATTTACATTTTTGCCAGACCATTTTCTACTAACATTTACATTTATAATAATAGATTACACAACGTTGGAGGATAAATTGCATTACAATGGTTGTCTTTCTGAAATTGCGAAGTCATTTAGAAGACTTTGGTTGGCATGGATAGTGCTATAAAAAAACCCTCTGTAAAGAAAGAACAATCCCTGACTCAGAGGTCTACTGAGCCAAGTATTCCGTTAGCTTTGACTATTACCGCTTTATGATTATGAATTTCTATCTTTAGACAGTAAATAATTTCTAACCACTTTATTGCTCTGATCTGAGACATGAAATTATAAATTATGCCCTTCTTGGATCATCCTGGTCATTGTGTCCATCCTCATATGAGCCTGAGCTGCTGTTCAAAAACACACCTGCAGCCACGACTTTGAATTATTTCTTCAGGATCAGGTTGGGATCTTTCTGTCCAAGGATTGTGTTTCCACTGGCAGTCTTTCCACTCCCAGACATTCCCAGAAGAACAAGGTTCACTTTGATGCCAGTGTGCTTACTTGAATAACAAAAATTATGTTATACATATTATAATAGATGACATGTTTAGGTGTAAGTTCAGATACATGAACACAGTTCTGAACAATGAGCGTTTAGTGAACTGTCTCTGAACATAAGGTGTTGTATGGATTATGATTTACTTGCTCCTCTCAGCTCAGTGTACGGTGTGTAAAAATGGGTAACAGGATCAGTGCACCTAAAGTACAAACAAAACCATATTTAGTTCTAGTGTTGAGGCAACCCTTCCCTTGTACACAATATTTACAACATACTGTAAAGCAGTGGTTCCCAAACTTTTTTTGCTGGGCCCCCCTTATGTTTTACAAGAAAAATGCAAATACAAGTAATCTGCAATAAATTACAGGTAGTATTAAAATAAACTACTAACTCTTTTACGCTGCGTCCACACCTACACGGGTATTTTTGAAAACGCAGCTGTTTCGTCCATGTAAACGGCGTTTCGAATCACCGAAAACTGAGATTTTTTTAAAAATCCTTTTTTGCGTTTACATGTGGACGAGGAATACAGAGTTCGTCACACAACGTCAAAGGTATGTGCCTTTTTCCACGTCACGCTGTGCGCCACGTTATTGTTTACATGAGATGAATTGCAGATAGATAGAGACAAAATACTGTTAATCTGGCTATCTGCAGGTTTTACACGCTTACATACACATACATAACTGCAGGTAACAACTTTACATGTGACAAATAAAGGATTGATTGATTGATTGATTGATTGATTGATTGATTGATTGATTTTTTTTACCACAGTTCACTGAAGCTGATAATGAACCTGATGTTTCAGAATATAATAAACCATATTATGCATAGCTTAAGAAAATAATTTACATTTAATCTCTGGCTGGTAATGACTCCATGTGACCAGTGATTTTGTAACAAAATCACCCCAACATCAGGAATAACATTAAAAACAGTCTTTCTATTATTAAAGGCAAACGTTAGTCCAGTCATAATTATAAAGAAGCAACGTCATGTAAAAATAAAACAATATGATTTTTCATGCTTTAATATATAAAAATATTTACCCAGAGTTACAACAATAAATGTTTTATTCTTTTTTATTCTTTTTTTCTGTTGTGTTTAAAGCTACCTTCACTGTGTGAATCAGCTTGTCCAGTCAGTGGTTTATTTAAAAAAAAAGATGTAAAACTGCTTCAAGTAACCATATTTTAAAAATGCATTTCTTCTTGTTTAAATGATAATGTAGTAAATGGCATATAGAAGGCAATTATTTTATTACTATCTTCCAGTTCAATATACAGAATAACTTTCAGACTCTAAATTATTTTTTTTTTATAATTCAAGTATTTATTAGATTTTGCATTTTATAACAGCAAATACAAAGATGCAGCAACCGAAAGGAAGAAGCAAACAAACAAAAAAAACCAAACAAACAAAAACCAACAACAACCCCCCCCCAAAAAAAAAAAAAAAACGAAAAAAAAAACCCCAAACAAAACAAAAACAGTGAGGTTTTAACATATGTTGTATTAAGCTCAAATGTCCAAGTCAGGTAGACATGTAGGTGCAAAAACTGTCCCACTGTTCCACCGCAGCTTCCGTCACATGATGTATTTTTCCCAGCATCTTTTCGCACGCAACATTCCCAATCATTCTTTCTTTCCACATTTTAAGCGTTGCAGTATGGGAGTCCTTCCAGATTTCCAAAATGACACAGGCACATGTTACCAATGGAGTACTTAACACTCTAAACTGGTGTTTATTTAATTGCGGCACCTCTCTTTTGTCTCCTAGTAGACATAATTTAGGTGATCTGGGTAGGTTACGAAGTGTCCACCCCTGCAAATAATTCAGTACAGTGTTCCAAACTAGAAAAACCAGCGGACATTCCCAGAGGGCATGTATCAGAGTACCTTTGGCTTGTTAGCATTTCCAACACAAGTCATCTCTACCAATCCCCATTCTATACAGCCTTGAAGGAGTATAATCATATCTGTTAAGAATTTTGTATTGAATAAATTTTCCCCTGGCTTCCCTAATGTATAATCCATTGTTCGACAATATAGAATCCCATTACTACCAGACTCTAAATTATTCATAGCTCTACAGAAAAAGGCCAAATGTCTAAGCACGTGATTTTAACTCATACATGAGGTAATGTTGTCTGTTATTCTAACAGCCCGGTCACTGTGTCAATCAGATTTTTCACTTGCTGTGAACTCGACTTTCTGTTCTCAAAGAGAACACACCTGTTTCCACACTGTTTAATAATTTCCCTCAGACCAGGATGGCCCTTATGCAAAAACTCCTCAAAGGTTATTTCTCCCTGTTGCAGGTCGTCTCCTCTGGTGAACAGTACCACTGTTTTTTCTTTAACTTTACTCCCAAAAGCTTTTTCTAATTTACCCACTATGTCTCTCTCACCATCTGTAAATCTGCTCACATGCATCACAACTAAATAGACACAAGGTTCTGACTTGCAGAGCTGTTTGCATTTTTTAACATGTTTGCTCTTAACTGATGATTTGATTTCATCATCAAAGATATCTGGAGTATCAATTACAAACAGGTGTAGGCCATTTCTCCTTGTTTCTGCCGCCTGGCACTCTGTGGTGATCGGCTTTGAACTCGGTTTAGAAATGAAGCTCTTCTTTCCAAGGATGGTGTTCCCACTGGCGCTCTTTCCACTCCCGGCCATGCCCAGAAGGACAACGTTCACTTTGGTCTCAGAGTGCTTTCCTGCATTGATGAATAACAAATCGAAAAAAGTACTTTTTCAGAGTTTGTATGTATCCTTAAATTTCATATTCAGTAATAAGCACCAAAATTAAAATTATAGAGAAAGACATGACATAAATTACTCCATTTCAAATATTATAAAGTCATTTTTGCCCCAGTACTGTGTAATCACTTATAGCAGCCTTTATATTTAAACTAACATATATGCTTCCCTAGTTTGTTCTTCTTCAGCAAGTTTGTGTAGTTCACTGAAAACCTGCTGCATGATGCAAGAATTGAAGAGGAAGAAATCTATTGAATTACACCTACACCAATCAAAGACACAGGCCTGAAGACAAACTGCTGTATAAGTTTGTGTCTCACCTTTAGTCTCAGGTTGATCTTGTAACTCAGGATTTTTATCAGAACTGTAACAGAAGTGTTGAACCTCATGAAGTGATTAGAAACTGTGTTTATATCATCAGCTGATCATCTTTTTAAATCAGTGAACATCATTAAAGAATATTTCTGTTCAGTGTGAACTTCACATAAAGTTTTGTCAAATCCAGAATCTAGAAGTCTCCATGTTCACATTTACCTGTTGTTCCTTTGTCCTGCTCCTTTAGTTTCATCCATGTTTTCTGGTGTGTCAGTCTTGTGATCAGTGTTGCTGGACTGGATCTGATTTTCTTCTTGATCAGGGTGGTCTGTCATGTCTGCTGAAACTTTCTCTGTGTTCTCACTCAGATCTTCTTTCTGTAGCTGCACAGGTTCAGGTGAAGACTCGTCCTCTATGATCATTAAAGACATGTTATGGTGTGATTCTTAGATAAAACCTCGTTTGTCATCACATAGTGTGTTAAAGTCTGCTGCACGTGTAAACCAATTTCTTTGAATCTCAACATTTGTGAATCATTTTCTTCACATAAGGATCTCAGTGTGGGATTTCTTCTGTGGTTCTAAATGTCGCAGAACAAAAAGTTCACATTTAAAATCTCACACAAACACATACATCCTGGTCCAAATTATTCACATATGGGTTTTCGGAGCCCTCCTTTTCACATTTTTGGCTCAGTTTGAACTTATGACTCCACACACACACACACACACACACACACACACACACACACACACACACACACACACACACACACACACACACACACCTGAAGTATGAAGACAAACTGCTGTATAAGTTTGTGTCTCACCTTTAGTCTCAGGTTGATCTTGTAACTCAGGATTTTTATCAGAACTGTAACAGAAGTGTTGAACCTCATGAAGTGATTAGAAACTGTGTTTATATCATCAGCTGATCATCTTTTTAAATCAGTGAACATCATTAAAGAATATTTCTGTTCAGTGTGAACTTCACATAAAGTTTTGTCAAATCCAGAATCTAGAAGTCTCCATGTTCACATTTACCTGTTGTTCCTTTGTCCTGCTCCTTTAGTTTCATCCATGTTTTCTGGTGTGTCAGTCTTGTGATCAGTGTTGTTGGACTGGATCTGATTTTCTTCTTGATCAGGGTGGTCTGTCATGTCTGCTGAAGCTTTCTCTGTGTTCTCACTCAGATCTTCTTTCTGTGGCTGCACAGGTTCAGGTGAAGACTCGTCCTCTATGATCATTAAAGACATGTTATGGTGTGATTCTTAGATAAAACTCATCACATTGTGTTTTAAAATCTGCTGTGGATGTAAGCAGATGTTTTCATGTCCTTAAGAAAAAGGTTTTCTTTTTCTTTTTACAGTAAATTCTTGACCCATGAGTCGAGCAAAGGTTAAAACTCAACATTACTTTTTTAAAATCTGAAATTCAATTATAAACCTTTACATTTAAAAATATTTTCCCGCTATTCACATACGTATTAATACAAAGCAAAGATTGTGATGTTAATGTGAATACAAACTTTTTATTACAACTCACTCTGAGACATGGTTCCTCAATCCAGAGACGGAAGACCTGTGCGGTGTCTCCAAGCTCTGCTGCTCTGTGTCTCTGTTATATGAACCTGTTATTCAAATACTGAAGGTGTGCCTATTGTAAAACCGCTCATAAAGAACGTTTTGAAAAGAGGCTCTAACATTCATCTCTCTCACCTGTGTAGTTAGAACAGTGAAAACAAAGTATGACATCATCTACATCAGGTATACATTATCTTTAAGCTTCTCTGTTTCTGATATTATATGAAAAGTCACATTGTCTTTATTTTCATTCATATGACATTTGAGAAATATTCAACCAAATTTTGGAATTGTGTTTCAGGGACATGTTCACGTTCATCACATGACTTGGTATTGTCACTATTTTACTAATATTATACCAGTTTAAAAACAGTCAAAATAATAACGATATTGAGAGTTAATTACACAGTACATTAAAAAACTGGAAACGATGTGTTCATGACATCCAACTCTAGCTTGTCCAATTCCACAGGGGTGTCTTACAACTCTAAAAAACCCACAAATTTTTGTTGTAAAAACAGAAACGTTCCCTCTCTTCAGTCTTCTTTCTATTTCCAAAGTGATGTTAATATGTAGTGTTTCTATATGTATTATGTATCTCATGGTAATTATTGTGCCATACTGTAATTTACTCAATGTTGGATTCAGAAAATGAAAGTTGTTTGTTTTGAAACTAGAAAAAACGCTGTTAAATCACTATGCAGGAAGTAAATTGGGAGGCTCAGCTGTCACACTTGTCATAAAGAGAAGAACGTACCTTGGATACTCTGGATGTTTTGTTGTTGTTGTTGTTGTTGTTGTTGTTGTTGGTTTTTGGGGGCGGGGGGTTAACCAAAAACAACCAACTTCCCTGAGTAAAACCTACTGTGATCATCTAAAATTTGCCCCAATCAGTACTTAATCCTATCTCCAAGTAGTAAAATACAAAGAATCCACAGCATCTTAGAAAGGAACAAGGATGTTGCTCTGGGACTTTAGCAAATATGACAGAAAGTTGAATAGTGATGTGGAAAAACCTGTAACACCTAGGGGATTTCACCCCAAATATTTTTTAGTGACACTTGTGTTGATATGATCATAATGAAACACAAACATTCAGGAAGCTTTGTTAGGCAGAAATTCTTTCTTTCTTTCTTTCTGTCTTTCTGTCTTTCTTTTTTTTTCTTTTTAAGAAATGTTGGCAGCCAGAAGCAGGCACTTCTCTGCAAAGATTTTAATCAACAAAGGTGCCATTGCTTGTTTTCAATTCATGTTGACTTTGTTTTTCACCATAGACAGTTCAGTACTTCTGAGTACAGTTTCACTTCAGTATTATTTATAGATTATTTAAAATCTAATTTAAATATTTTTTTTCCCACTTTTGTGAAGATAGTTCTTGAAATCTTAAAGTGTTGAAGTATCTCCAAAAAATCACAAGTGATGTGCCATCGATTAAGAAAAGTGATAAAGTAGTGACTAATATTTAAGCATTTACACTTTGAATAATAGTTTTATTAGAGTATTGCACACTACTACATGTATAATATAAGATATGCACAACATAGAAGAGCCACCTCGACGGGACAAGACTTAGTGGTTCATCTGTGTCTAAAGGACAAAGGTCAATGTTTCGAGGATGTTTACATTTTGGACCGAGAAGACAGATGGTTTGAAAGAGGAGTGCAAGAAGCCATATATGTCCACTGTGAATGACCATCTTTGAACAGAGGCGGTGGGCTGCAACATCAACTGTCTGCAATCTTATAATCCAGTTTTGAGATCCCTTTCCAGACGCCTTAACGCCCACTAAAACCTTGGCCCTTTGACCTCAGTAAATGACGATATGGTGGGGCTAGGTTTCACAATGAATTGACTGGAAACCTTTGCTCTTTGTGACCCACACCCATTTTTACACCTTGACTCGTTTGATTCGATAGAGGATCATTAGGGGGTTCATGACCCTCTTGGGGACACTGCCATAGGGTTTAAAATCTGGGACTCTCCACCATTTGCGGTTAGAATGGAAGAAGCATCTCGGATGAGACGCAAAGCATCTTCAAGAAACCTAAAGAAGTCCAGACGCTTTTCTTTCCAATCTCCTTAGACTACGATGACCTGGATGACTGAGAACCTTCACAGACATTCTGAATAAGAGTTACCATTCTGAAAAATAGTGGTTTCTAGTGTAGGCCAAAATTCTTTATAAAACTGTTGGAAAACCAGCTGGACCTGGAGTTTTATTAAAGCCTGCCTTGAAGATTGATGCCAACAATGGAAGAAAAAATATGAGAAGCAGAGGACTAAGATTCAGAACAATAATTTCTGAAAAGAAAATGAGCCACTACAGTAGACCATGTTGTTGTAAATGAAATGAGAAACCTTTTAAAAAAATGGAAACACTCTTATTATAACCCTTTTATGTGGCATAGGTAGGAGCTCAATTTCTATTTTTATTACAAAGTTGTAATGCAGCCACATGAGGTTGGAAAGTTTAAAGTATTAGTGAAGGGAAAGAATGACTCAGGAGTACTGAACTGTGTGGACCAAAGAACAAGATAAATATCAAGTGAAGCCAAGCAATGACAGTTTTATTGATTAAATCGTTTACAGGGAACTTCCTGCTTTTCTGACATTTCTTTCAGAGTATTTCCTTCTATCGAACCTTCCTGGATGTTTGTGATTCATTGTGTGCTCATCAACACAAGCGTCACTGAAAACATATACATAAGACACTAGTGGGTTTCCACCTACAAGTGTTACAGGTATTTCAACATCAGTATCCAACTTTCTGTCACATTTGTCCCAGCCTTATGGCAGCAGCCTTATTCCATTTGAGGAAGCTCTGGACTGTCATGATGGCGTTAAGAGAGTGTCAAGTCAAGTCAACTTTATTTATATAGCACAGTGCTGAACAGAGGGATAGTATGATCAAATTAAAAGAATTAAAATAGATAAGATAAAAAAACATTTTCAAATGTAATGTATAATGTATAAAACAAAATCCCTTCAAGCTTCAACCTCGGGTCCTCTACCAGAGGCCTGGGAGCTCGAGGGTCCTGTACAGTATCTTAGCTGTTCCCAGGACTGCGCTCTTCTGGACAGAGATCTCAGATGTTGTTCCCGGGATCTGCTGGAGCCACTCGCCGAGCTTGGGGGTCACTGCATCGAGCGCTCCAATTACCTCTGGGTCACCCTCCAATTCTTCTCCAGCTCTTCTCTGAGCCCTTGGTACTTTTCCAGCTTCTCGTGTTCCTTCTTGCTGATGTTGCTGTCATTCAGTATCACTACATCGATCACTACGGCCGTCTTCTTCTGTTTGTCTACCACCACTATGTCCGGTGTGTTAGCCACCACCATTTTGTCCGTCTGTATCTGGAAGTCCCACAGGATCTTAGCTCGGTCATTCTCCACCACCCTTGGGGGCGTCTCCCATTTTGACCTCGGGACTTCCAGGTTGTACTCGGCACAGATGTTCCTGTACACTAAGCCGGCCACCTGGTTATGGCGTTCCATGTATGCCTTGCCTGCTAGCATCTTGCACCCTGCTGTTATGTGCTGGATTGTCTCTGGGGCATCTTTACACAGCCTGGGGTCTTGCCTGGTGTGATAGACCCCAGCCTCTATGGATCTTGTACTCAGAGCTTGTTCCTGTGCTGCCATGATTAGTGCCTCTGTGCTGTCTTTCAGTCCAGCTTTGTCCAGCCACTGGTAGGATTTCTGGATATCAGCCACCTCCTCTATCTGCCGGTGGTACATACCGTGCAGGGGCCTGTCCTTCCATGATGGTTCCTCGTCTCCCTCCTCTTTCTTGGGTTTCTGCTGCCTGAGGTATTCACTGAGCACTCGGTCATTTGGGGCCATCTTCGTGATGTATTCTTGGATGTTCGTTGTCTCATCCTGGACTGTGGTGCTGACACTCACTAGTCCCCAGCCTCCTTCCTTCCGCTTAGCATACAGCCTCAGGGTGCTGAACTTGGGGTGAAACCCTCCATGCATGGTAAGGAGCTTTCTTGTCTGTGTGCATGTCTGAAGTTTAGTCTCCGACAAGTGAAATGTTCAGCTGGGTTAAGATCAGGTGACTGATTTGGTCATTCTTTACTTTAATAAACTCCTGTGTTGCTTTGGCCATATGTTTTGGGTCGTTTTCCATCTGCTTTATTAAATACCAGCCAATCAATTTGATTGCATTTAGCTGGATTTGAGCAGACAGTATGTCTCTGAACACCTCAGGAGTTCATTGTGTTGCTTCTGTCATGTGTCACATCATGAATAAACTTTAGCGTCCCAGTGCAACTGGCAGCCATGCGCGCCCAAGCCATCACACTGCCTGTGCTGTGTTTTACAGTTGATTTGGTATGCTTTGGATCATGAGCTGTTTCACACTTTCTCAGTACTTTTATCTTGCCACATTTCTGGTAGAGGTTGATCTTGCGTTTATCTATCATGAGAATGTTTTTCCCAAACTGTACTGGCTTTTTTAGATTTTTTTGTTTTTAGCAAAGTCCAGTCTAGCCTGTCTATTCCTGAGTTTTATGAGTGGCTTTCACCTTTCAGTGAACCGTCTTATTTACTTTCATGCAGTGTCGTCTTCATGGTAAACTTTCATATCCATACGCCTACCTCTTGGAGAGTGTTGTTCACTTGTTTGGCTGTCATGAAGGGGTTTCTTTTCATCATGGAAATGAGTCTGGGAT